ATTTTTAGATAATGCAATTTTTAAAACCTTATAAATTTAAAAATTATAATAAATCAAGCTTTCAATTTTTTTTAAAAATAATGATTTGTTTTGGCTGAAAAATATATAATGATTGAATAACATATAATAATTTCTTTGCTTTTTTAAAAAAATAAAGGAAAGTAATATTCCGTATATAAACATGAAATTAATTTTCAGCTTAGGGTTATATTCATTTTTGTTCAAGTAGCAGTAAATTTTATTTAAAAATAGCAAAATAATTATCTTTTATTCAAGCACTTGACTCATTTAAAAATTCTACAAAAAAATCATTTAATGTTTCCAAAATGTGAAAATTTAACAAAAAAATAATAATTAGGTAGTGCATTCATACTTTTTAGTATTAATATCATCGTTGTCATTTGTAGCACTACAATTATTTTAATCCTATATAGCATAATAGCACTACATGTTTTGGCTTCAAACTTGTACATATATCGAGAGTTATACTCTCACTATTCTTAATTATATAAGAGAAAATTACCGCATGGACACATATCAAGAAAACAGTTAAAATTAATTAATGTCTGAAAATTGATTCCATTTTCCATTTATACCCTTAGTTGATACTCAACATTTCATCTTTCCAACTTGCTGCAGAGGAAAGCTTGCTCCTGAAATTAAAATAATTTTGATATAAAATTTAACATGCAAAATTTACAATAAAAATACTCATATTGCAGTTTCCAGAAAAGAAATGCTCCTCAAAGCTGCACTTAAATCATTATCTTTTTAGATAATTTCCTTTCTCAATAATAATCTGGAGCCATGTCTCTTATTAATATTCCTGTAAAGTCTGAAATGAGTTGCATGATTTAAAGCCCATTTGTTTCAACTTATTTTATAAAAAAATCACTTATTTTTTTAAAAAAATTAATTTTTTGAGTTTTAATTATGTTTATTTAAAGTTTTAAAAATAATAAAAATTAAGAAAGCATATTTTTTTTATTATTTCAAGAAGCTATTTTAAGTAGTTTTTTGAAATAATTTGATGCGATAGATGAGAAAGAATGTTTTATTATTTTAATGTCATAAAATTTTAAAATAAAAAAATAAATCATTTTGATAAAATAAAAAATAAAGAGATCATAAAATTTAAAAATAACTAATGAATAATCATTGTTTTATCATTATAAATAAACATAAAAATGATATTTATTTTTTATAAAATCTCTACAAAATAAATATCTGTTTATAAAATATTTAATCTATCTAAAAATTACTTATTTTTAATCTTAAACAAATGGGCCTTTAAATTTTATGAATAGTATGATTCTTTTAAATTTTAAACTATATATTAATATATTGGTTATATAAAATTTATAAGGAAATTGTATTATTTATAAATTAAAACTTGCGACAAGTTATTTTTTATTTCATAGACTCAGAAATTCACATATCTATCTACTAAATATATATATTTTTTATATGGAATTACCTAGTTTATTTAATTTCACAGTGGGAACACCATCACGTCTCGGTATGCTTGGGAGCTAACTTGAAATACTTTTAAGTATATAAATGGTTAAAATATATGTTTAGTCCTCTAACTTTATATAAGATTTTAATTTGATCATTTAATTTTATAAAGTATTTTTTAATCATTTAACTTTAACATTGTTTGTTTCAAATGATTATTTTTTGTGTCAATCATTATTATTTTTAAAAAAATTAAACTTAATAAATTAATATTTGAGAATATTTTATCAATATTTGAAAGTTTAATGTAAAAGTTTGTTAAGATAAAACTAACAATATTAGAGTTAAAAGATTAAAAAGACATTTTATAAAATTAAGAAATTAAAATAAAATGTTGTATAAAGTTAAAGGATTAAATTTATACTTTAACCAATAAAACTTTAGATACCTAAATTAATTTTTTAGTGCTTGAGGGTGTGTTTCGTTTGAAAGAAGGAAGAAGAGATGAATTTTTAATGATATTTTGTTTAGCTAAGAGGGGGAATGGAGGTCAGGTAATAACTAATTGACTATTATATCTTTATATGATTATTTTTATTTGTTTGTTTATTTCTTATATAAATTAATTATACATCTTAATTCAAATTGCTTAATGTATGTTAAATTTAATTTTATCCTATATATTTCTAATAAATGCATGAAAATTAGTATGAGAATAAAAAAAAATTGAATCTCAAGAGCCTCTCCCGTCACAATCAAGGGGCATGAGGGAACACCAAAAAGTAATAAACACACAAAAGATATTTTTTTAATTAAAAACCATTTAAATAGGGTTAAATGACAGTTAGAATGCAGAATTATCAGCTCAGAAGGAGTTCAAACTCTAAATTCATATTAATATATTTTAAATCTTAAATAATTAATTTGGAGCAAATTTTCCTTGCCGTTTAGTTCGCATAGATGCTGATTACTTTTTTTAAAAAAATGGAATCAGATATGCAATTCCAACTATGTCAAATCACACTATTATCTCCCGCTCTCTCTGTGCAGCAACTCATTGTTCCAAATCCTTCATTGCCAATTAAATTACCGTTTCTTCACTGAATCCCTTCGTCACTACTTCTAGTTCTCTGTATGTGAACACTTGACCTCCGCTGAATTTAGGAGCTGCCGGTGCTGGCCTGAAGGGCTGGAGTCAGGAGAGGACCAGCAAGGAATACAGCGCCACAAGCTTTTTATTTTTTTTAATAAAATATAAGAGTTATATATTTTTAACACTTCTAAGTTGATACATTATAGCAGCTTTGAGACATTATATGAAATTTTATTTCAATTCTATATGTAATTTTTTACGCATGTATTATGCATAGTCCAACTACTTATGTCGCTCGAAAGTATAATTGTCATAAGATCTATTAATTTTTAATAAGATAATATTATATTTGCTCTTAAAATGTTGATTTATTTGATTTTTCTTTCATTTTATATTTGATCAAATAAATTATGAGAATTATTACTAACAAAATTTGTCAAGCATTGCAACAAAAATTTTAAAATATATTGAATGCTATATGCTTGATATCTACCATAACATCACTTATCCAAAAAATTAAGAGATTATGGTTAAAATATGTTTTTCTAGAAAAAAATAATTTTTCTATAATAGCTAACCAAATTATTGAAATTTATTATAGGAATGATTTTTACCATGACATAATTAGATTTCATCGATATAAAAAATTTGTGACAATTGAATATCATTATTGTGTTGATTGACAGAATTACATAGTAAATTTAATAAATAAGTAATAGAGCTTTTTAGATTAAACATAATTTTAGATCTCAAAAATATATTTAAATTATTCAATGCTGATAGAAAAGATAAAATTTTCACTAATTTAATAATAGTTTATATTGAGAAAGAAATTATTGAAAGTTCATTATAGATATGATAATTAATTATTTTTATGCCATGAAAAATCAATGAGCAAAACTTACAAAATAAAGATACATGGGGCATATATAGTGATATATATAAATTTTATTTTTTTTTCAATTAACATACATGCTTTGTCATCTCAGCTCTTCCTAATAAAATTTTCTAACTTCACCTCTATTAGCTTGCTCATTTGTCCTCCATAAACTTGGGGCAGCGGCTGGGAAGGAAGATAATGAGTGAGGAGAAGCATGATGATGGTATTGAATTCTTCAGTAGCGGAAAAACTGATATTGAATTCCATAACCCCAGAGCACAGAGCTGGCTAAGAAAGAAAAGATGGATCCATTTGATAGTTAGGACAAAATGGACGTTGGGGCATTAGGGTGGGGAAGGAGTGATAAATGAGGGTAGGGGAGAGAGAGTAACTTGACACTAGTATAATGGACATTTAAGCCAAGTCAATGATAAGGGTGAAATTGTCTCAAATTTAATTGCCCGAAATTTAGAATAGACTAAATACGAATTTATGGTTTAGATTGCCTCTATACCTATAAATTAAGGTCCAAATTGTTTTTTAGGCCATTAAATAAAGATTAAATAATGGAAAAATGACATTAAAACTCTTTTAAATTATCTAAATGATATTTTGGTTCCTCAAAATGCTATAATTCTTTTAAAATCTTTAGAGACTTTTTTGTTATTAAAGAATTTATATAAAAATCCCAAGCCTCTTGATTTAAACAAAAATCCCAAGCCTCAGACACGTTTTGTTCCAAGATTCACAACTTTTCTTTCCAAAATCATAGAATTTAACAATAATTCATAAGTTCGCATTTCAAATTTTGATATTTTTTAAGTGTTACAAATATCAAATGTCATTTATAAGTTTTGTTTCAAGATTCACAATTTTTATTTTTAAATTCGTAAGAATTTAACAATTCACAAGTTCACATTTGAAATTCTAATATTTCTCAAGTATTGTAAATATCAATTTTTATTTACAAGTTTCGTTCTAAAATTCACAACTTTCTTCTTAAATTTGCAAGAATTCAACCGTAATTTATAAGTTCATATTTAAAATCTTGATATTTCTCAAATATTGCAAATATCAATTGCTATTTACAAATTTTGTTATAATATTCACAACTTTTTTTCCTTGCAAAATTGTAAGAATTCAATAACAATTCACAAATTTGCAAGTATATCTTCTAAGGTTTGGGATTTTTATTTTAATCAAAGACAATTTAATCTTTTATATTAATTTTTTAATGATAAAAAAAGTTTTTAAAAATTTTAAAAAAATTATAACATTTGAATGATCAAAATATTATTTACATAATTTAAAAAAAAATTTATCATTTTTTTAAATAATTCCTTTCAAACTTCTTTCTGGTAGAAAGAAAGAAATAAACATAAACAAAATTTATGTGAGCGAAAACAAACGGACCCTTTACTTTTTCTTTTTAAGTTCGCCGACAGTGAAATGGTAGAGAACAGAAAAAGGAAGAATATGAAATTAAAATAGTGGCTACGGAGGAAACATCAACTTGCCCATAAAGGGGAAAAAAAGCATATATATTAATTTCCTTTGGAAAGCCATTAATGTACGAACCGCGAAAGTTGAAGAACAAGAGAGAAGAAGTCTGATGCGATATTCATAACACAAGTCTCTTCAATATCTACCAGGTTGGATCCCTTATTGTCTGGGGCTTCGGTTTCACTTTCCTTCTTCTAAAAATGCTTTATTTGGAGTTTCTATTTATTTTTGGTTCTTCACCCTCAGTAACTTTTGGTTTGAGGTTCATTTCGAAACACTCGACTTTTTTTTCCCTCTTTTCTCGCTTTCCATTTTTCATCTACTGATAGCTGAGTTTCTCTTACCTAATTTGGTCGTGAAGAAATTACTTCAAAGTACTCTAACCTTTGGACTGATATTGTTGAGTTGGAAATTCTTCAGTTCGATATATTGGACTTTTTTCAATTATTTCTTGTATTCTTTCAAGGTCACTAATCTTTCTATAGTTCATATTTTTATCAACAAAAGCAACATTTTCTCACTTCTTTCCCGATTCTCATCTCTGATCTGTCCGTTCTTGGTGGGACACTTGGATTTTGTTAAGAATAGTAGTAGTAGTAGTAATAATAGTTTATTGTAGATCTTTCTCATGTGAAACCCACTGGATTTACTGCATGTATAATAGCCTCTCCATTTATCAGTTCAAGTACAGTTTTACCCCCACTTTGATTCTGCTGATACATTTGTATATGTAATTTTTTGACTGTATAATTTACTGTATTTAATAACCATGTGTTACGAATGAAGAAGAGGGGAAATGACGAGAAGGAAAATACAGATAAAGAAAATAGACAGTGTAACAGCAAGACAAGTGACTTTCTCAAAGAGAAGGAAAGGTCTCTTCAAGAAGGCACATGAACTCTCAACTCTCTGTGATGCTGAGATTGCTTTCTTGGTCTTCTCTTCCACTGGCAAGCTTTATGACTATGCTAGCTCAAGGTTCTTGTGTGTGTGTGTGTGTTTTATCTCTTCCTCGCACTTTCATTTTGAACACACACACACACACACACACACGCACGCACGCACGCAGAGGGATATTTAATTGGGGGGGGGGCGTGAGAGAGAGAGAGAGGTTTCCACAATATCATCGTGAGTGATTTAAGAATGCAATATGAAACTGTGTGAATGCTCATCATCATCATCATCATCAATGTGTGTGCATGTGTATTTGCGCTTAGCATCTCTCACTTTGTATGATCTATAAAACTAGCTAGCTAGGAGCATATGTTTTGAATTTTATTGTATAACTTCTTAATCTGATAATACAGCAGCATTTCTCATCCGCTTGATAAGGAGCTTTTGTAATAACTCCATGATCTTCCTCGTTTAATAAATTGAATTCAAAGGGCTAGAATTTTAAGTTGACCACTAGTTAGAATCTACATTATTTCTGTTTATTTATTAATTTCTAACCTTAAAGTGCAATGTTAGTGTTTTAGTATTGTTGTTTCTGTTAAGTAATAACTAAAGGGTCAACGAATGAATAAATATTTTTATGGATTTGATGAAGTAATTGAATCATGATTAGTGTACGCACAGTTGAAGGTTCTGAGTAAAACCATTGGGATTCTGAAGAATTTCAGTATTTAGTTTGACATGTATAAAACTGTGCTTAATGATATGATCTTTTGCATTAACTGATTTCAGTATTCAGCAGGTAATAGAAAGGTATGATCAACATTCAGCCATTCAAATACAAGGCAAATCATCGGTTGATCTGCAGGTAATCAATGAATTAATATCAATCATCAATATATTTATACTTATAGAAAGTTGTACCATTTATTAGCTGTTAACAATATACCATCTCTTATGTTTTGTACAAATAAACATATGCGGTGGCCTACCCTGTTTACTTGACTTTTTTCTTTTCTTTTTCTATTTTGGATAACATACTTAACTTCTAGTTTCTCTAAATTATGACTTACGCACCCCCTAAATGATATCTTAATTATGACTACTGAATAACTAAGTAAACACTTACCAAATGAACAATGAACCAGAGGGGAAAAAGGATCTGCTTCAGTAACGGGGTTGGGTCCAATGGGAGGAGTTAGTCCCTCACAACTTGGAGAATCTAGGTTTAAATTCTTGCTAGGAGAGGTTCACATTTAATGTCCGGCCATGCCTTGAATAGGATTACCTCCACTAGTAGGACACTTGTGAGCAATTTAAAAAAAAAAAGGATCTAATTCTTTGGAAGAATTATACTCACTGAAGAAATTACGTTCATTATACCTATAATTCCCTCCCTCTTGATTCTTTATAATTTGTTGTCCATAACCTCCTTTTCTTCTCTCTTTTCCCTTGAAGATATTTCCCCTTCTAGATTTGATCAGGTGCCAGGATAATAGGGGCTAATGTTATGAACAAAAGTGAAACTGAATTGCCCTACAGAAAACCCTAGGTCCTGAATTAGCTGCACAGGAGAGCTAAAAAGAGCATTTCTTTGTGGGGTGACATAATGTTGAAATCAATTTATGATAATATATGAAGTAATGGATATGAAATCATAATAGGCTAATTTTCTCAGGTCTTGTTGTATCTTTCCTTTGTTTTTTTTTCCCCTCCTTTTGAAATATGTACAAGCTCGAAGGTGATGAGAAGGAGCTGCACAAGGTAGTAGCAGCAGAAAAGACTCGTGAATTGAGGTGGACAACTTTATACTATACATACCACGCATGAACGTTCACATGATTATTATGTCCCTAAGACACATGATGATTTGCGCTATAAATTATTTCAACAGGCAGCTGAACGGGGAAGAGCTTCAAGGATGCACGCTTGAAGAATTGCAGACACTAGAGGAAAGACTTGAAAGAGGCTTGTCCCGTGTTTCAAAAACAAAGGTTTCAATTTGATCCTTTTTGTGCTTTGATCTTCGTCCTCTCTAAAGTTTGTCAAGTTCTAAGCAAAATTCTACCATCTTCATCCCAAAACGTAAGTCATTTTATTTCATTAAATGTTATCGTTTTAAATTTTCCCCATGAGATATTAATAGAGATATATCATTAATAAGAGAATATACTTTAATTAGGGCTATTTCAAAATGTTCAAGTAACTTTTGTAAAGTTCAAGATGTTCCATTAACTAACTTTAACCAACTTTATTGGTTTGGGTAAAATTAAAATTAGAGTAACTTGCATTTTGGGACAGGAAAAATAATACTTTGTCATACTCTATCCATTAAAAAATATAAGATATTTTTAACTAAGTTATATTTATAATGAGTTAGTTAATTATCTTTAAGCTGATACTATCTTTTTATATTTATCCTTATTTAACCGGGTGGATTACTTAAAGGTTAATGGTTGTGTGATTTATTTATTAAAAGTACTTTTGGAAAAAGACTCATTAATTACACATTGGATAACTAAAATGCCTTATATTATTAAATATTTAACACCAGAAAAAATGCCTTGTATTTTTTGATCGTGGGGAGTATGAAATTTGTATTCTTCATTTACTTTTAGGAATTGAATGTAGAAGAACTATAATATCTTTTCATCAATCATGCATCAATATAATAGTCACTATATCTTGTGCACAAGCTAAGTTATGAGCAATATGGCTTCCTACCCTATGACTTCTTTTTCTATAACATCTTTTAATGTTCTTCCACAAGATTCAGTATATTTCTTTAAAACTACATTATTGCTGATGCAGAATCTACTTGATGATATGCACATTTTCTATTTTGGAAATCTATATCTTGGTACTTATCAAACTTCTTTATATTTGTACATTTTAAAAAACATTAATGCCTTTACTGTGCATAAAAAATATATCTAGTTGAGTGATTATAACTGCTACTTATCTTTCGCTGTGTGAAGAAATTGGCTTGTTTTCTTCCTTATCCTTTACCTTTATGAGTTGTGATTTTGTATAGTTATTGCATCCAAGCTCTTGAGTTGACATATTTACTATGATTATATATTGTTTCAGGATGAAAGAATCTTAAAACAGATCAATGCACTTAAGAGAAAGGTAAATACTACGCCAAACTTAGAATTTTAGGATATGTTATATCTATATCTATATGTTCCAAAGAATGTTAGGATCTATGAACTTCTCTTTTTGTCAACTGATTATATATAAGCAATATTGATGTGTGCAGTAGCTCATAAAATGAAATCTCATTATATAACTTACTCCCTCCGGTCCCATTTATAAGTTCCATTCTAGAAGGTTCATTTGGTCCCATTTATAAGTCATGGTGCGTCTTTTTAGGTAATATTTGAAAAGCACTTCCAAAATTATCCTTCATGAGAGAAAAGGTAATAAGATATTACTTTTTAGATTTGTTATATAGGGGCATATTTGAAATTTTATTTACTTTTATTGTATTGGTATTGATGAGATTGGTAGAAATGACTTATAAATAGAAACGGAGGGAGTATATTTCAAGAAGCAGGAAAATATTTTATGTCAATTTTCTTGAAGTGTATTCAATACATTTAAGTCACTTGAAGTAGTTCCAAACATAAAATGGGTCTTTCACAGTATTGTAGAAGGAACAATAGGAGAAAACAAAACCATTGAAGAGCTTGATCAAAAACTACTTGACTTTTTTGTTTTTTGTTTTTTTAACTTTGAAAAATTGAAGTAACTTGGATTGAATCTTAGTAATTGTGCATGCTGTAGCAAGGATGTTTTGTTACTTACAATCCAATCATGTATTTTAAGTCATCTTCAAAGGATTTTACTCACTGCTTGATGAAAATTTCTACTTGACTTTGAAAACTACTTAACTTTCCTTCTGCGTCGCCGTTTCGAACTCGTGATTTGACTGGAAGAATTAAATTGCTCTCACCATCAAGCCAAGAGTTCGATTGGCGAAAACTAAACTTTACTCCTTTAGTTTATCTATATAGTAGCAATTTGCGCATACCCCACTCTTTTTATAATCTTCATTTAGAATTATTAGAAACTTAACTAATTTATACTCTCCATTAAGTTAGTTAATGGAATTCAAAATTACAGATTCTTTCTATATTTACTTTTATTTAATAGGTTGTCTTAACTAGAAAACCTTATTAATTATATTTTTAATTAAGGGTATTTTTTAAAAACTGCATTAATTACACCTTAAATGCAAAGCCTTACAATACGACCAAAATGGAATACACAAAAAGGGTCACTTATGAGTATTCATACTTGAATTATCAGTTCTACGAGAATCCCTTTTTGAGTAGTATTTTCCACAAAATGGGGTAATTCTTAGAGATTTGATTCTTACTCTTCTCTTCACTTATGACACTAAAATTTGAAAATTTCCCATGATGAGAAAATTGAGATCCATATTCTGACAAACTAATGTATGCGATTTTACTAATACATAACGGATTTCAAGAAAAACTCAAGTGATGCTTTTTATGACACTAGCAATGTTCCACGTACACTCTCAGTCACCTTTGCTACTGCAATATGTTTGACTTTCATGTACAGGGAATCCAACTCGTGGAAGAAAACCGAATAATGAAGCAGGTGATCACAGATTTTCAGACTCTTATCCTCTAAATTATTGCCTCTCATTTCAGATGTTTTGAATTGAAAGTCTTGTAACACAAAGATAACACTTGAGATTTATATGTACAGAGCCTTGTGCATGAACGAGGGCAGTCTTCTGAGTCCATCATCATTTGCAGTTCATCTGACATTAATCTTCCTCAAGACTGCTATAGTTCTGATAAGTCTCTCAGGCTTGGGTAATTAATTAGTTTATATACTTTGTTATAAGACCTATGATCAATATTTCATCCATACAAAAGCAAGAATTAAATCAATTTTCATATATTTAAATGAGCTGAATCAAGCCTCTAAATTAATGTTGGACTATGGTAGGATTGTATTAATTGTGTTTTACTGTGTTACTGGTCTGACAAATTTTGATTGTCTAAAAGTTTTAATTGTTTTTGGACTTGAGCGTTGTTTTCTAAAGTTCATAGTTACAATAATGTTATTTTATCATATATTTTATCGTTTTGAAATAATAAAAACATTAAAATTTCAAATATATCCTCTAGGTTTGTTTAATGTAATTTGAACTGTCTACATTTGATGCTTATGGTTTGAGTTAAATATGTAGACTTTGGGTCTGTTTGGATTTCAGTTAGATATAATAGATTACAAAAATAATTGATTAAGTGATAAATTTTAATTAGAATTGATTATGTTATAATGCAACCTGTTTGGATATTGAAATTGATTTCAACTGTGCAAATTATCATAAAATACATTGTTTTTTGAAATTAAATTATTAATAAAGTTGCATTTAATATTAATAAATTTGTTAAATTTTAATTAACACAATTATGAATTATTTACAAATTATTTATTATTAACATGGTAAAATGGAAACCAGAAGCAGGTATGAATAGATTAACAAAAAAAATTGATTTCATCATGTTTAATCGATTATGCTATTATTATGCTGTTTGGCAAATTTTGTTTTGAAAATCGATTAAATTCCAAAAAATCGATTCTTGACACAAACCAAACGGGCACTTTGCTTGCTGTGTTTAGCATACTCGAAGGTTTCAATTCTGCAAAATAATTGAAATGAAATTTCGAATGTTTTACACTAAGAAATATACAATCCATTCATTTTGTGAAATTTAAAAAAAAAAAAGATACTGCTTCTATTTCCTCCCTTGTTGGCACTAATTTTTTTTATTCATGTGGTCATTGCAATATTCTTCATAGCACTAACAAGAATTTGGCTTTCGATGTGTTGCAGGTTGTCTTTATTCAAATAAAAGCATAAATGTTTATTCCTTAGAGAACTATACCTATGAGCAGGGAAACACAATCTCTAGCATCCATTTAATCATCTCTTAACAACCATTATGTGTGTGTAGCAATGTTTTGAAACTAGACCGGACATCGAACCAAAAAGAGCAACAGGTCGTAGTTTTCATAGTTTAATCGGTTAGACTAACGGTTGAACCGGTGACATAAAAATTAAATAAAAAATAAAATTTATATGCGTAATTATATAAATAAAACATTAATTTGTCAACGGTGCTTAGAATTTCGACCTCAAAAGCTAAATGCTTGAATTATTGGAACTAGAGGTAGAGGCATGTTAGTACAAACTTGTGATCTCAAAGGAAAATGTTGGAGTTAGAGGCATGCCATCATGTCATGACTAACAATCTTTTGATCTCGATGTTAAAGGTTAGATCTTTAGAGCTGGAGGCAGATGTCGGAGGAGAAGTTAGAGATTGAGTTAAGGCCATGAAGGAGGGATTGGAGATTAGAGAAGAGAAGAAAAGAGAGAATTAGTGATTAGAGAAGGGAAATTATGAATCTAAGCAACTTAGCCTAAATTTCTTCTTTTTTTATTTTTTTGGCTTTGAACCGAGTTCACTTAGGTTGACCCGGGTTCGATTTTCGAGTCAAAGTCGGTTTTCTCAAAATCGGTCGGTTCAATCTGAGTCAACTCGGGTTAAACACCAGATTTGTTTACTTGGTTGAATTGAACCGTTTTGTTCAGCAGGTGACGGTTGGATCGGTTGGATCGCCTGATCCAGTCCGGTTTTGACAATATTGGTGTGTAGAGGGCTATTATCAGCCCAAGCTAAGAAAATTGTACTACAATTCTCTCTCTCTCAAACTAATTTCTTTTGGCTATATATTGCAATTAGTTAAGAGTCCGTTTGCATTTCAGTGGAGTATAATTAATTATAAAAATAAATAATTAATATAATTAATTTTTATTATAATTGATTATATTATAACACAATCTATTTGAATATTGAAATTAATTTTAGCTGTACAAATTATCATAAAGAACATTACTTTTTAAAATTAAATTATTAATAAAATTGTATTTAATATTATAAAATTTTGTTAAACTTTATTTAAGAAGTAAAATATATTATTTAATAATAAAATTAAATTTATAAGTAATCTTTTAAAGTTTATTTTAAAATATGATTCTGATTTAATAATTAATTATTAATTTTGGTGATTGTTTGGATAAATTTTGTAAAAATCAATTGTTGTGGCTCAATAATCAGTTTTGGCCGAACTATAATTAATTCTAGTCATCTGTTGCATTTATTGGTAGTGTTTGACTTCTCTTTTCCTTCCTTTTGTTTTTTTCTCTCTTTTCTTTTTTGTGGCCGAAGAAGACATTGCAGGAAACAAACTATAAAGCAATTGTTTATTAATTTACAAAAATAAATGTTACTTTTGAATTGACTTGACTTCCAAAGCATACAGCACTAAAAATTATATTTAAATATTTCCAATCAAATTAAAACAAACAAGATAAACACATGCACGCGCGCATGGTACGACACACATCATAAGTAACTTCAGATGTAATACTGACTCCGAGTTCTAATTATAAAGTGTCTTCTAAAATATATTGTTGATCTATAATATAATGTGTTTGTAATATTATCCAATGAATTTTTTTATTTTTACTCTCAGACTTTTAATGAGATCTTGTAAATTACTCCGTGAAAGGAAATGGAGGTTTTATAATGTTTACATTCATTTAATAAATAAGAGTAAAAATAGAATCTTGAACTGTTTCCTTTTTTTGACAAATTTAACAATATCACAATTTCTATAAGATATGTGAGATAGTTGAAAACATATACTTAGAGTACAAAATTTTAAAAACATGATGAATAATTTTAATGTAGAATTCAAGTCTTGTAGCCGTCCACTTTCATTCATTCATTCCCTTGAAAAAGACTCAAATATATTGTTAGATTGGTGTACATATTCACCGCCCATATGGGCTCTCTCTCTCTCTCACATTTTTTTTTTGGAGAAATATATATAGTAGGTCGTTATATAGTGATTATATTTTATTTTTAGTTTTTTTGTAGTTTTACTTCATTAATCTTTTTAGTTTGATTCATTTGCAATGTTAGTCTTTATAATTTTAAAAATGCACTAACAGCCATAAGTTAGAATTAATTGCATTGTAACTCTGCTAATGTCTTTCTTGATATGAAAATCAATTGATTAAGTATGAGTAAAAATAAAAGATAAGAGAGCAAAAAAGCTTCCTTGCATATTTGAATTAACATGAGAGACAAACACAAAATTTAAAACACGTCAATAAAGAAATTCAAAACTACAAGAACTAAAATTTGTTAAACTAAAGGAAATAGCTAGGAATAATATTACAGACTTATTAAACTATGGGGACTGAAAATAAAATATAAACAAAATACACGAACTTATTATTATATTTTTTCTATTTTTGGCCCCTCTTGCAAAAGTCTATTTATTGTGCAGTAAATATGAATCTAATGTGTTGTAGAAATAATATATTATTCTGGGTAAAAAGTTAAAAGTGAAATGAATGATGATGTGAGGACAAAACATTTTAAATTTTAAATGTATAAAAATATTTTTCCCCTATCTACCTTGCCCATTTTTTAGGTTTGCGCCGGAACTCCGCGTGGTGAGTTTATTATACGTGGATGAAATTTACTCTAATTCCATTTAAAAGTTACTTTTAATATATGTTTCATTAAAATTTAAAAAAATATTAAACTTTATTAACTTTACCTTAAAATTTAATAAGTTTTTACTTTTACTCTTAATAAGTATTATTAAATCTCATTACTAATATTTTTATTTAAAGTATTTAATAAGGATAAAAATATAAAGAGAAGTATTAAAAATTGACAAATATCTTATAAATAAAATCAAAAGGGTAATTATTCAGAGAAAATATAGAGTTTTAAAAACAAAAATATAAAAAGCAAGAACATGATTCCAGACTAGTTGTATTAATATACAAGGCCGCAAAATAAAGGAGCTTTGCAGGGGACATAGTAGAAACTGCAGGATGTAGACCCAATGTTGTAATTAATGAAGGCCCCAATGAAACTAAGGGCTATTTTAGTAAAACACATGCATTATTTCTTGGATTTAATTTTTATTTAAGTTTTTCCAAGTTATTCCAATATTTTCTTATGTAGTATGATTTTTTTTTTTGAGTGATTATTTAGTGTGATTTTAATCAATCTTGAACTCATGTGTGCGAAGTGGCTACTTAAATTTAAAGCTAAATAAATTAGTATATACAATTAGTGTGAGGGGAACAAGAATTTCATCAAAGTCATATCATTATATCAATATAAATTAATACTAACGATAAAAATAAATTTTCCAACAATAGTTAATTTGTAAAATTTTGAGAATCATAATGTGATTTGGTAAGGCAGGATACATTAATGATGACTACTCTAAGCATGAAAACATTAATTGTGATATGTTATAAGGTGATCGGTGATCTCAAAGTTAGATGGGAGCGTTTGTTAACCAAGAGGAATGGACAAACAAGAGCCACATGGACTAGAGTAATGTTTTTGAGCCTTTAAGGGAACGTCCCATTTAAATTTAGATAGATTTTGATCTATGTCTAATTTGATATGATAGAAAAGTTTTTGATGGAATCAAATCAGAATTGAAAGTAAAATAGAATTAAGTTTTAAAATATGTTTGCTTTTTATATAAATTCTTAATATAATTTTATTTGTTAAGTGTATTTAAAATGCATAAAGACTCTAATGTCCCTTTCAAAATTAAAGGAAAAAAACTCTCACTATTGCCCTTCTCTTTGCTTGATTCATTAGAGCATTGTCAGTGACAGTGATAAATTAAAGGTAGTAATGAGAATTTTGTGAAATAAAGCCAATTCCATTATGATAGTGATGGAAATTGGATTCAAGGCATTTGGCTAAATAGAGATTTTTGAACATGTGGGTCGACGTATACTAAACTACTCAACTTCATGATTTTGGTTCCATTTTTGTTTCTCTTCAACCAATTCTAGCTAGATTACCA